GCGCGTGCACTCACCAGACAGAGAGAGAGAGAGACAGAAAGCAAGAAATCACCCCCCAGAGGTGATGGCCACGCCGCAATCCCTTCTCCTCCATTCTCCTCTCGGGATCTTGGGCACGCATGCACATGCGCCCAGCATGAGTTTTAAGTCACCAGGTCCGGGACTCGAACTGTGGTTGGCCACATGGGAGTCCAGCGACATAGCCACTACGCTAACTGCTGGTCCCAAGGTCCTTTGATTTTTGCAGATCCTTTGATGCTACCGCCCAAGCCCCAGTCTTCAGCCCTCAAATGCAGAGCCTTTTCCCCACAGCTTGCAACCCCTGCCAGGTAATAAGTGGGCCCCAGAGTTGCCACCCTCAGGTCTCTCTGGTCATACCTCAGCATCAGCTTTGAGACCTTGGACAAGCCACAGAACCTCCCTGAGCCTCAGTTTCCTCATCTGCAAAATAAAAACAGTGATCAGGAGGGTTACGCACAGGGTCAGCCTCTCCGTGTCCAGTTACAGCTTGTCCACGAGGACGCACATGCAGTGCCTTGTCTGCTACTGGTGTTACTCGCTTCTTTGCAACCCCCTTACTCTTGCATCACGTGGGCTTGGCCCTCACTGTAGAAGTTGGGGAGGAAGCTGTCTCGCTCTGCAGGGAGCCAGGGTCCCCACCCCCACTCAGTGCCTGTCTCTGGGGGGTTCTCTCCATCGCGCTCTCTCCCTGCCCTATGTGTGCTGCTTCTAGGCACAGACCCGGAGGAGACCATTCTCCATGCCTTCAAGGTGTTCGACACCGAGGGGAAAGGTTTCATCAAGGCTGATTTGTAAGTTCCCACCTCCTTGGGTATTTCTGTCCCCGGATGCTCTAGTGATGAATAGGCTGGGGTGGACTGGGGTGGGTGGCAGCAGGTCTCCCCTCCTCCTGGAACTCAGTTAAGCTGGGGTTGGCCCAGCTCAGCCAGTGGGTGTCTGGGTGTCACTTCTCCTCTATGGGTCCGGGTGTTCCCATCTCTCTGTGTGTGTGTGGAAGTCGAGAGGGAGTGCAGGGTCGCTCAGGGAGGGCTTCCTGGGGTGGGGGCAGAGGTGAGCCTTGAAGGATAACCATGGGTTGCCTAAGCTGAGGTGGGAACAGCATTCTAGAAGCAGGAACAGAGAGAAGGCCAGGTGTGTGCAGGATGGTGAGGAGTCGACTGTAGCTGGAGAGTTTGTGGGGTGGGGGCGTTGAGTACAGCGAAGTAGCAGGGTCTGTGCAGGGTAGATCACGCAGCAGCCCCACGACCTGGTCTGCCCTGGGAGCGTGGGAGAGCCTGGGAAGGAGTTATACAGGGACCACATGGAGGCCAGCCTGGAGGAGGTGAGCAAAGGGTGGCAGCTTCCAACAGGCTCAGGATGTTGGAATGGAGGGGCCAATGGATAAGTGAAGAGCTAGAGACCAGCGGCATGACATGTAGGGTGTGAAGGGACAGGACCAGGCCAGATACCAGCCAGAGCCTGGGGGGACATCAGGACGAGGGTGGGGGTCTGCAGCAAGGGGGCAGTGAAGCGTGGGGAATGCGACTTGGCCTGGGATACATGAGGGGAATGCCACTGTAACAGCTGTCCCAGGGCCGTGGGCTGGCATTGTGGGGGTGGGAGCACAGACAACAGCCTGCGGTACCTGAGAGCCTAGCCTGGAGAGCACAGGAGCAGAGAGCCGGGGGTGGGGGACAGGGCAGCGGCTGCTGCTCAGGGCCCTGGAGGTGCAATGCCCTCCCCAAGCACCGGCTCCCTGTCCAATTGCAATACTTCAGGCCATGGGTGTTAAGGACTATTTTGCTGCCTGTCAGAAACCTCCTATGTGGAGGTTGGGGGTGGGGACATGCAGGGAAGGGGTACAGGTGGGGAGGGTCTGTCTCATCTCACAGTCCTGTCTCCAAGGCTGTGAGTCCCATGTACCCCAGGGCTGGAAAGGGGCTGTGGAGGGTTTCTCCGGGCCACATCCCTCTCTTTCCTCACCTCTCCCTCAGATCTATGGCTCCCCCACCTCAAGCTAGGGGACTTGGAGAAGCACCAAGGCCACTGAGTGGCTTGTTCCAAACCCTTCACTACCGGTAGGAGGACAGGGCTGAGAGGAACCCATGGGGGACCCAATTTGGGAACTGAAGGCACCGCCCTGGGGCAGGGGACCTGGAAGACGTGGCTGTGGGCCAGACAGGCCACAGCGGAGGCTCTGGTTGAAACAGCCTGTGAAAAGTCCCCAGTCTGGAGAGTTGGAAACTGTGACTGTCCCGCAGAAACATAAATAACGGAAAATGTGCGTTGGGCCCCAGCCGGGGTTGTACTATGGCGCCCGAGGATACTCTGGGTGCACAGGGCCCGGCTTAGCTCTCCGATCCCTCCTTTGCCCACAAAACCCCCTTATCCCTGCAGGCTCTTCAGGCTTGAGGGGCGTCAGTCTCCGGCATGCAGACTCAAGCAGCTTTCAGGCCCACGCCTCCGCTCCTACAGCCCCAGCAGCTCTGGCTACTGTGAGCGGCTACTCTCCTGGAAGACTGAGAGGGACAGGCCCACCCTGCCACTGGCTGGCTCTGGGATATGGGGCAGGTCACAACCCCTCCCGAACCTCAGTTTCCCCTGTAGTAAAAGGGGATCATAGCACTCACTTCCCAGGGCTGTGAAAAGCAAATGAGACCGAACAAGCCTTCTATGCCCTCGACAGAGGAGGAGCAGCTTGTCGTGTGTAAAACGCTGGACCAGGAACCAGCAGTTGGTGTAATGGTTACGTTGCTGGACTTCCACATGATCGAACGTGGTTAGAGTCCTAGACCCGGTGGCTTAAAACTCACGCCAGGCATATGTGCATGCATGCCCAAAATCCCAAGAGGAAAACGAGAGAGAAGGGATTGAGGAATGGCCATCCCCCATGGGGTGTGTGTGTGTGATTTCTTGCTTTCTATCTCTCTGGCATGTACCCTAAAGCAAAAACCTCTCTCTAGAAAAAAGAAAAAAAACACTGGACAGAAGTCAGTGAAAATCACAAACTAAGAATGTAGTGCAGCAAGAACAGACAAAGGAGGCTTGGAGGGGGGGCCCAGGCCGGCTCCCCTCAGTGCCTGGAGGTTGATTATTAGTGTGCAGTGGGAATTCAAGTGGCCCCAAGGTCATGCTGGGGTCTCAAGGTCATTCCTTAGTCCCCACCCCGGTGCTTGGAGGACAGCCCATGTTATAGAGGAGGAGCTGAGGCTGAGAGAGCTGCCTGGACCAGCACACCCCTCCCCATCCCACCACACCCCATCCCTGGGATCTACGCAAGTCCACAGGGAGCAGTCCTTCACCTCGGCCTGACCTTTCTCTCCCTTGAACAGCATCAAAGAGAAGCTCATGACCCAGGCAGACCGGTTCAGTGAGGAGGAGGTAAGAGCGGCTTTTCAGCATGGCAGACCCCATATTCTGTCTTCCACTGGGTCCTGGTCCAGCCTGACTCCCTGCTCCCTCCCCAGGTCAAGCAGATGTTTGCTGCTTTCCCGCCAGATGTGTGTGGCAACCTGGACTATAGGAACCTGTGTTACGTCATCACACATGGCGAGGAGAAGGACTAGAGGCCCGCGGAGCTCCCCTGCATTCAGTCAGCAGATACTAGGGTGCTGATGGTAGCTCCTGCAGCCCGAGTGTAAGGGAAAAGGCTCTCCTTGTCCTAAGGGTCGGGGATGAAGCAAGAATAAATAACACTAACAAGGTCTGAGTTGGTGTGATTAATGCTCCAGTTGGGGAGAAATCTAAACATTCCTATCTTGTTGGTTTTTCCAAAACTTTTTTGCTTCCCTGGCTTTGCTCAAATGTTCCTGATGAGCTGGTGTTTAGAACTAAATTGACAGTTTTAATGATCCCCAGCTGGGCTATGGGAGTTGCTTTCATTTCTGAAGCTTTTTATTGAGCACCTAGTGCGTGCCAGACTCTGCCTGTCCCAGGGACTCCAAGTTGAGCCAGGCATATCTGGGGGCAGAAAGATCATGCTGACTGCGGTGAGGAAGAGGGTTGGAGGCCAAAAATCAGGGGAACACCTGTGGGGAGCTGGGATGAGAAACTTGGTGGCAAGGAACTGGGCAGAGAAGGTGGAGGAAGGGAGGGGATTTGAGGGTTGTTAGGAGGCAGGCAAAGAGTTCTTAAACCAGACACATAGCACCAACTACAACATGTAAGTGGGTACATTGGACCTCATAAAACTGAAAAACTTCACCAAAAGACACAATTAGGCGTGTGAAAAGACAAGGCATGGCATGGAAGAAGATACTGGCAACACATAAATCCTGACAAAGATCTCACATCCAGAAAATAAGTCTTTAAAATGGGGGGGCCGGATGGTGGTGCAGTAGTAAAACGTGATGCTCTGCAAGGCTGACCTACATGGGAAAGTTCCAGATTCATGTCCAGAGATGACCCTGAGTATTCAGGCACATGTGTGCCCATGATCTGGGGCAGGCTGAAGCCGAGGGTGGACCAAGGTATGGAGACCCTGCTGGAGGTGCTGTTTCTCTCTGTGTCTCTCTATCTTGTTTATGAAAGAAAGAAATAGAAATAAAATTCTACATATTAATAATGAAAAGATAAAAACCAAAAAAGAAAAGTAGGTAACCAAAAAGGATATCCCAATGGCTAATGACACTCTGAAAAGATGCTCAACCTCATTCTTCAAAAGGAACATGCACATTAAACCGCGACGAGGCCCATGCCCTTCAGAATGGCTGAAATCAAAAAGACCGGCAATGCCGAGCGTTGATGACGACGTGGAACAACCAGAACTCTTGGGCTTTGGTGCAAAGCAGGCCAGCCTCTGTTGGAAATTGCTTGGCGGTATCTACTAAAGTTAAATACATGCATATCCTGATGCAGCAATTCTACTCACAGGTGTCTAAATTCAGAAATGTCCATTAGACAACCGCCGAAAGATACATGCCAGATATATAATAATCCCAAGTTGGAAACAACACGCGTGCCCATCCCAGCAGAACTGATAAATAAATAATAGCATGTTCCTATATGGGAATACTGTGTTAGCAATAACAATAAGCCATGGATACACTCAAGAATATAGACGATACTCAGACACATTCTACTGCATGGAAGAAGACATACACAAAAGAATGCACATTTTTAATAAAACCTTCTCCCTGAGATATTCACCTACCATCAAATTCCCCATTTAAAGTGACCTTTAGTGTATTCACAAGGTTGTGCAACCATTGCTGCTATCTAAATCTAGAACATTTCATCACGCCAAAAGAAATCCATTAGCAGTCACTCCCCGTCCGTCCTGCACCCGGCCCCTGGCTGGCTACTTTCTGTCTCTCTGGATTCGTCTATTCTGGATATCCACATAAACAATTCTTATGGGAAGCCGGAAATGTTCTACGTCTTGATGGGGGTGGTGAGTACTCAGGTATAAACATGTGAGCGATCACTGAGCTGCGTCTTTAAGATTCATGTACTTTATTATATATATATAAGAAACCTTGACAAAGATTTTGGAAAAATGGAAATAACATACAAGTTTATCCTACTACCAAAAGAAAGTGAAATCCATGCAAAGTTTTTTTCATAACACACATTTTTCATGAAAATGTTGAAGCCCTCTCATATGTTATAGCCCAAAAGAAAGGAAGGAAAGAAGAAAAAGAGAAAACAAGAGAGAAGGGGCAGAAGGACCACGGGGTCCCCCGGAGATCCTCCATGGAAGCCTGAGACAGCAGAGAGTACTGAACCCCTGCCCTTCGGTCTGTCCACTCTCCCACGTTCCTGCCCATACGTACCCACCGTAGGTTTACTTCGTAAATTAGGTACAGAAAAAGATGAATGAGAGCAACGAATAACAAAACTGAACCATCAAACGATGTATGGTAAGAAGAATTACGCCAATGTGATCTCTCTCTCTCCCAGAATGTTTCAGACAATTGAATGTGGGCAACTGGAACCATGGAAAGCAAAGCTGCAGATGGAGAGCCCACGGTAAAGAAAAGGAACCTGAGGCACAGAGCTTGCCCAGGGCCAATGCCGAAGCTGGGGGTGGAACCCAGGCAGCCCAGCTCTGCGCTAAGTCAGTGCCCATAGCGGTCCCACACCGCCTCCCTAGGGGTAGGGACTGAAGTTGGGGTCATGACAAGAGCCGAGTGTTTCAGGAAGAGCAGGTGCCGGGTGTGGCCTTGGACAAGGTGTCCAAGGTGGGGGAGGAGGCCTTTGGAGCCAAGGGTGAGGGGTGGTGGGGGTGAGGTTAGAATTCAGGAGGCAGGAGGAAGGCGGTCCGGGGAGGACCTCCTGACTTGGAGGGTGGCAGCTGCTCTCCTCCCCTCTCCTGAGCTCCCATTCCCTCTGGGGCAGGTGGGGGAGAGGGATCACCTCAGCCTGGCGTTCCTGCTCAGGACCTGAGGCAGAGGGACATGGCAGAGGAGAGGGAGTGTTCCGAAGGTGCCTTCCCTCCACCCCAGGCCTTGCTCCTTCTTGCTCTCGAAGAGCTTGGCTTTCCTCGAAATCAGGGCCTGGGCCTGGTCTTGCTGAAGAAGGAGGAGGAACTCGTTAGACTGGTTTGTGTCCCACAGAGCCAGGCCCGAGCCAAGGCTAGGGGGAGCAGCACCACAGTCTCGGCGCACTGCTTGAGATAGCTAGGCCTGCCACCCTGCAGGACCCAGCTCCCTAGGACACGGGGACCACCAGTGTGGCAGGGGCGCCATCCAGCTCGGAGGAGGGTTCACCTCAGCCTGGCGTTCCTGCTCAGGACCTGAGGCAGAGGGACATGGCAGAGGAGAGGGAGTGTTCCGAAGGTGCCTTCCCTCCACCCCAGGCCTTGCTCCTTCTTGCTCTCGAAGAGCTTGGCTTTCCTCGAAATCAGGGCCTGGGCCTGGTCTTGCTGAAGAAGGAGGAGGAACTCGTTAGACTGGTTTGTGTCCCACAGAGCCAGGCCCGAGCCAAGGCTAGGGGGAGCAGCACCACAGTCTCGGCGCACTGCTTGAGATAGCTAGGCCTGCCACCCTGCAGGACCCAGCTCCCTAGGACACGGGGACCACCAGTGTGGCAGGGGCGCCATCCAGCTCGGAGAGGAGGCTGGGGGCCATTCATCTCCTCGTCCATCCCTCTGTCCTTCCAGTCTGCCCATTCACGCATGTCTCCTCTGTCCCAGAGCTCAGGATGATCACTGAGAGCCTCCCATCTGTGTCCTCAGGGGCCTTCAGGTGGGGGCTGCAGTCATGGGGGTGTCTAGGGGACAGAAAGCCCTCTCCAGAGGTAAAAGCCCCGCATGAATGAGGCTGCTGGTGGGTCCCCGCCCTGGGTTCTCTTTAAGTTCTTTTTGTTTGTTTGTTTGTGTTTTTTTAGAGAAATTTTTGCTATAGGGTGTGTGCACTCATGGGAGAGACAGAGAGACAGAAAGTGAGAAATCAACCCCGAGGGGAGATGGCCACACTGCAATCCCTTCTCCTCCATTCTCTTCTTGGGATCTTGGGATCTTGGGTATACATGAACATGTGCCTAGTATTGAATTTCATTTATTTTTTTATTTTTTAAAGAGGTAATAATTAGATTGTTATTAGACTTATATTTTTTCATTTATTTTTTTATTTTTTAAAGAAGTAATAACTAGATTGTTATTAGACTTATATGATTTTATTTTTCTTTATTCGTTCACTTTATTTTAATTCAAGCAGAGAGAGAGAGGGAAAGCGAGAAAGCAAGCCACCAGGTCCAGGACTTAAACTGTGGTCGGCCATGTGGGAGTATTCAGCACCTTAATCATCACGCCACCTGCTGGTCCCATGGTATTGAATTTTAAGCCTCTGGGTACGGGACTCCACCCAATTAACTAAGTGGGAGTCCAGTGACATAACCATTTGTCATCTATTGGTCCTCTTTTAAAGTTCTTTAGTTTTGATTCCTCAAGGCCTGTCTCCCCTGAGCTGTGCTCACTGGTGGTTGCGGCTGCTCCTGCCCTGGGCCTACCATTCTAAGACCCAAGCTGCTTTATGCCTGGCCTGGTTCTGCAAGAGCCCAGATGGGTTTCCTGGGACACCCGCCCCCAGGGAACAAGCAGCTGGGGTGGTTCACAGAGCTGCCCTTCCATGGGTTGGCGCAAAGGCTCCTGACAGCCAGTGTGACTGGCAGGATTGTGCATAGTGACAGACCTGAGTCATACCCAGAATCACCTTTTTAAAGGTACATGAACCCCTGCAAGCTTCCCTGATGTAGCCTCCCCGTGCCAGCGTTCCCTTGGCTCTGGGCTCCAGCTGCACAGCTTCATTTGGTTCCTTGACAGCCATGGCTTCCTACTGCCACAGGGCCCTTGCTTACACCGTTCTCTCTGCCTGGAACATTCTCCCCTATGTACCCCCTTCCTTTGTCCTGTTACCTCCTATTCAGCTTTCTGTCCTCAGCTCAGAGGCACATCCTCTGTCCCTGATACCCAGAATGGGTCACACCCCTTTCTGTGTCCTTTCAAGGCTCTGGATACTTTTGCTGGGGAGCTGAAAGTGGTGCTTGTCTTCCCAAGTGCACAGGGATCGGGCTGGACTTTGCCTCCAGCTGGACCTCCAGTACCCTGCTCAGGGCTGGCATGCAGTAGGCTCTTGGGAAACATTTGGCCAATGCCAGGAGGCCCAGAGAGCCAGCCCTACCCACACGAGTCATCTGGATGCAGCTCTGTGGGCCAGCAGCTGAGGCAGGAACGGTGGCTGATCCAGATTCCTCCTG